GGAAGTCCTGGGATTTCAACACCGCCATAACAAAATTACTGAAAAGTTGAAACCGGATGCCTTTGAAAACTTTTCTCGGTGTTTACGTAACAGTTCGTACGTAAGATGAGATGGAATTACAAACGTAATAACCTTCGTGTACTGTTTACTACCATGAAGCGAATGCAAACGGAGAAAGAGTGCAAATGCTCATATTCCTCTTTTAAACAGGATTAGGAAGATAAATCAGAAAACGAATGAGACAACACGGGCTGAAAACCAATTTCATTTCAAATTTTAGCTTTTGCGGATTATTTCAAACGAATTGGAGTAGAGCTTTAAGATGCTAAATATAAATGATAGTTATGTTGACAACTGCGGCCTCTACTAATAAATTTTAACCATATCAATATACTTCAGTCAGCATTGTTTTAACTTTTCCTCTACTTTGTTAAGGAAATTTTATCATGAACTTATAATTACGGTTCATTCTAATACCCTACTATATAAAGCTTCCACGTATACTCTGCTTACTAAATTACGCAGAACCTACAATTTTTCTTTTATTTTTATTCTTAATTTTTTTAAAATTATTTGTGTTTGTTTTCAAGACAAATTATTAAAAGTAAAGGTATAATGAAAAAAAATTCAGCAACCGTTTCTTCATAAACTCCTGCGCTTAGAAAATGAAATAGAGGCAGTGCATAATTCAAGGTACGAATAAAATGTATTTTTTGTTTCGCCGCCTTGATGTTTTACAAGCCTGCCGCTCAAAGTTCCCTCATTATTTTAAGACCATCAGTACTGTAATGTTTCCGTCATGGCCAAAAAGGCGTTTTCCTTCAGCGTTAGTAGCATTGCTATGGCAAGCGGCGTTTGACTTCCCGAAGCGATTATTTCATGAATTCTTGAGTAAAAACCAGGCAAATCATAATTTACCCTTTGTTAAGTATAAGATGCAAGATTTAGGATGAAGACAATAGCATATAAAATGCTTCGCAAGGTACATCTTGCAAGCTTCACCACAATACTCAGCATTTCCTTGATTGTTAATTCCGTATATTTCCTATGCATGTGCTTACTTCGTTCTAAGGCGCCACTGAAACACAGTCAACCAATTAAAGATGAATCTTAATCATTGGAAAGTAAAATTATTTCTCTTAACAATAACAATTTTATTCATAATTAGAACCTAAAATTATTTTAATGGTAGCACTATTTAGATGGATAAATGGCTGATTTCTCATATCCTCACGTTGTCGTTGATGTCCGATTTTTTGAAAAAACATTTTGCTCTTTTTATGATAAACATCGCTTTTCAAAGATTATGAGTACTAAATCTGTGACATTTAGTTTTCTCTATCTTATATTGCATACCGTTGTATATTTATCTTGACTTAGTAGGCGTGTTATCTTTCACATATTGACGAATGCAGCGAGGCTCATGTTTATAATATAAAATAATGCCATCCGAATGCCTCTTGCATTAATACCCAGGGCTCATACAACTGTTCTTGTAACCCACATCTTATCGGGAATGGTGTTAAGTATTGAAGTACGTTTGTTATCTATCATGCCATTAAATTAATTATGATCCCGATTGGTTTGACTCGATCTGAATCATCTCTACTCAGGTGGTCATTAACGACCATATTGCTGCTTGGTTATAAGTGAACTACGTTACCTGCACCTTTAGTTTACCGAAAGCTGTCCTTTAATGCGCTATAGAACAAAAAAAAAAGAAAACATGAATTAAGATACTGCTATCTATGGTTAATAAATGTATTTCTCATATTGATTTTTTAGCCTCATAGTATTGTTAAGAGTAAAATTTACTCTAACACTCGTTCTGTTGACTTTTTCTTTATTCTAACCTTTTACACTAGCTGTCACAACGGGGAATAGCTCTGATCTCTCGAGGAAAATGAGGGTCACCGTAGAAAGAATATTTCCAGGAAACTCCTGTGCAGGATCAATTTTTATAGGGTAGAGTCATTTTCTTTGTAATTAATTGTTTTTGAACAACATGATGAAAGGATACCAGTAACTAGTCGCAAACCGCAGTTTACGCAAAAACATCTGTCTCCATGTCAAATTCACGATCATATATATTAAGGAAAAGGTGACCAAACTCTATTTGTAAGATAAGACCACAAAAAGGAATAAGAAATGATCAACTGGCTTATTACAATGTTAACGGAATGGAATATATTATTTCCATTCATTCCCCCAACACCAATATTGGCAACGCTTACAATATTTTTAGATTAGATATATTCCCATTTTTATCGTTTAACAGTATGATATCACATGACCTCTTACTTAATGCAATCAATAATTTCTAATAACTTAAATCCTTTTGTAATTATCATTTCACTGTGTAGCCGATCCTTGTTATCATTACAAAAACCTGAGTGATGCCAATCGAAATAGAATTCACAAAACACTGTTACATGGATCAACGTTTTGTGACAGCCAACTCCTGTGGGATGATATCGTTTTGTGGGAGCTGCAGGAACAAAAATGCCAACAACGCGTGTGTCAATATTTAAATGTGGTACAAAATTCCCAGGCTGGTTAGATGGTGCTCATCCTACTGTGAAAGATGGTGAAGTTTATGGGAAGGTCTGCTTTAGTGATCACTCTAAAGGTTGCTATCATACTACCCAAATTTCTGTGAAGAACTGCTCATCCTACTATATCTACAAACTTTATCAGACGTCCAAGTGTCCGTTGCGCTACTGTGGCACAGACTGAATATGCAGAGAAGAGTTTCCATAGTAATAGGATTCATAATCGTTGTATTTTAGGGCCTTCGCGTCGCGATGTTTAATATTTTGGTAGATTTTACGCTGTTGTCGCCTGGTAAATGCTATCATTAAAAAAAATATATATATGCAATGATAATAAGGACTCATGACAAAGAAAAGAACTTATTTCGGAAATCGACGTGTCATTCTCGCTGTATGCGTTATCGAAAAGTAGGTTAATAAAGTTTTCAATGATCGAACATTATTCGATGCTTTCTTTCTACTGCAGTAGCATCCATTTGAACAGAAGAGCTGTAAATAAATAAATAAATCTGTTGCTGTTCCATTACTTAAAAACCATTAGGGCCTAGAAAAAAGAACCCTTCGAGGAGGGGCAGTTGATACATTTTTGATAATCCTACCATACTTGGAGACATGTGACAAAATTTTACAAATAATTCATCTTAATATACCTATGCTTCTTAGAGAAGAAAACTCGAGAAAAGAAGAAACCACTTGATCAGTTACGGTCGTTATTGGTCAGACTCGGCCCAGAGAGAAGGGGATCTTAGTTCAATATGATTGGAAAGACCATAATTCATTTCAGTACGACAGTTAACGTTGGGATTTTCGGTTGCTATTCACATAAGTTAAGAATGTTCAGAAATACAGAAAATCTGGTAACTTTTCATCTCTAAAATTGTTATTGCGATAACAAATAGTTTAATGAGTGAATGAATAAATGATAGAAATAAGACATATTGCATTTTACCACATTTTCTTTCGTTAATAATCTATTTGCGTGTATACGGCACTAAGTCAACGACTACGCTAAATTAAAACAGTAGATGACGCTGCATCTTTTGCAAACTTTAATTCACCATTACGACAACCGAGAGCGTGTGTCCCATGGTAGCCAACTTAACGTGATTAGTGTCGGAGGGAAGTTTAATTTTCCAGCATGCTTCCACAGCAAATAATTATAATCAATCTCAGTGAAGTTGCACACGACTACTAGCCGTGGTCTCGCGCGCTGACTCCGATCCTGACTCGCGTATTTTACATGCTGGCTCCCCCCCCAAAAAAATTACTGAAAGTGGATCGATCCGTAAGGCGGAAAGAAAAACATGGCTGTCGAAATGACAGCTTTCCTTGCGTTTGCACGCCACCTTTTATGTTCACAGTGATATCATGTTAAATCTACTCCATTTATTTTGATTACAAGCGACTTAAATTCATGTTGTTGCGAAACGAAATTTGTAAAAAACAATCCTCTCGTCTAATTTTTTTGTGAATAACGAATGGGGATTCTTACCTAAAAAAACATCAAACATCACAGACATGAAACGTGCGTATATTGTTGAATTAGCAGCAGTCCTATTTAGTCCACAATTACCGGTGCTAGACCCCAGTCTTTAATATAAACGCGTCGGTTTGTATTGATTAATGCATTACTGAATAATGGTAGTCGATCGACTTAAATTTATGTTGCATTGAAAACATAAATTATAAAGCGCACTGTCTGACGAATCATGGAATATTTTCAACACTAATATCGACATCAGTGACCTAGCCCTATAGTTCATTTCTACTTTCTATTATTTGATGATTTCACCAAAATTCTCCGAGGCTTACAAAAATTGATTCAAGTAATGTTTTTTTTTTCGACATGTAAACTATGTTGACTTTTACATGAGGGGAGCTATAAAATGTAAATAGGGGATGAATGTATAACCATAATAAAAAAAAAAAATCGTAGAAAAGAGGAAAGACTATAAGACAATTGTTTAAAGCCTTCCTTCGCCGGAGAAAATGCAAGTTGAAAAAAAGGTTTGACCCTAAATTGATACATTTCGAATGATATACTGCATGATGTCAGACAAGAATGGTTGGTCTCAATGGAAATTAGCATGAGGATGATAACTGTTCAATAAAAAAAGAGTCCTAGGGAATTTTTTCAATTATGTATTTCTTCATGAAACAATCGAAAATCAAGCACCTCTCATCAAAGTTTTAGTTCATGTTAGGGTTAGGCTTTTTTTTTTCCACCGAGGGATTCTCCAAAGTTTTTAAAAGTTTGACCTTACTATTTATTAGTGGAGAAAACATATTATTATCATTATTGTTATCATCACTAAAATTACTGTTATGTATTTTTCCGAGCGAAATCGCAAAATGCTGTTCCCAGACTACCACTCCATTGCTGAAAGGCGTTTGGTGAACCATACTATCGAAGAAAAACGTGTCAAGAACTTGGATGACTGTGAGTTAATGTGCTACCTGAACGACAACTGCGTGAGTTCTAACTTCAAAAAAGATCCGGAGAATAATGAACCAGTTCACATCTGTGAACTAAATAACGCCACGCATCCGAGATATGACAATGACTTGACAACTGATGCCGATTTTTATTATCGTGGCTCGAAGGTGAGTTACAAATCGGTTTTTCGAAATCGTCGCCTTTGAATAATATGGAAATAATTATGAATGTTTATGCAAATTATCGTGCATTTGATCATACTGTATTTAGTATCTTCTTTCACTCAAACCTTCGACCTTTCTCAGTTATCATTTTAGTGTTTTTTTCTCCTTCAGAATGCTTGTGATAAGAATTCCCCATGCCAACTCCCTCGGGTATAGTATCGTTTGGTGGGAGCTGCCGGAACAAAAATACCAAAAATGCGTGTGCCAGCATACAGATGTGGTGCAGACTGGTCAGGTTGGTTGGATGATGCTCATACTACAGTGGAAGATGGTAAAGGTAAAAGGAAGGTCTGCTTTAGTGATCGTTCTGACGGTTGCAAATATGAAATCCGAATTTCAGTCAAAAATTGTGGATCCTACCTCATCTACAAACTTTACCCACCTGCTTGTTACTCACGCTACTGTGGTACAGATTGAATGTGAAGCAAAAAATTCAATGAATAAGGGAACTCATAAAATGATCCTCAGGTACACGTACTTCAGGGATTCTGCGAAGTCTTCCATAGAATTTCTTCTATAGAGATTATACGCCGATGATGTCCTGTCAACTTGTAATCAAAAATGCTTTGAATTTCACATTATACAAAGCATCTCTTTCGTAATAATAATAATCATAAATAATCAGTCACTGCTTAAAGAAGTAATAACAAACAAAAAAGAAAGGAGTAGAAAAAGGAAAATGCTTAAATAGTGAAATCCTAGACGAGCAAGAACATCAGTCAGTATGACAACTAACAAAATATGACGAAGCTCGTGTCTCAAAACGTTAGAGGCTGCAGTACAGGACGCAATATCTTGCACGGTATGATAATTTTAGCTTCAGTTTATTTTGAAATTTAGATGTCGCTTTTGTTTGTGCTAATGATATGTTCAGTCTGATAGATGCTTTAAAAAAAAAGCAACACGATTATGCAAGGACTAAATAAGGTATGGTGTTAAAGTTTAACTTTTTTTATTGCAGTTTCACACTAAAATGAAAATCTTTCTAAGTTGAGGGGTTTTAAAAGAAATATATTACCCTTGTTCCAACCCTATAAAACCATTAATCATGGCGTGGAAAAGAAAAACACAAATGCCAGTGTTCAGTATGTTGGGTTAAGGATAGGGTAAGAGTTAAGGGATAGGAATGAAGTTATACACGACTCCCCCAGTAGTCAATTATTTATCTTCCGTGTCCGAGAAGAAAGTTAAATGCATAGCAAATGAGATCAACTCTTGCTACTTCTTAATAAACCTAAATAAGATTTAACGTAAATCGAAGATAATCTATTCAAAGGACACTGAAATAGGTTGAATCATTTTGTAGGTCAGCTGTTAAACTGTGTAAATATAGGAGAATAGTGAAATCAATCATGAAGTTTTAGAGAAATTGTACAACTCTTTATAAATACATTTATCTTACCTGAAGCATTTTCAACTGAGTGTCGTAAGGTGAACACTAGATTAAATACAATGTATATGATTTAGTAAAGGTCTGATGGCGGGAAAAACTAAAGATAATAGAGGAACGGGAATAAGTTAGGACTTTTGACACTCAACTGAAAACTATTCACCAGCTTGAATTACATGAAGTGCGAACATGTATAAGCTTTCGCAGTAAGGAATGCTTAATATAACTTTACGTACTTCTTGATTTCTTTACAAGGCAGTGCTCATAACACAAGCAATGCTAGTGTTCAATTGCTATTAATGACTTAATGGTACTTATATCAGTTGCTGATATTAGTTAAGGGTTAGAATGAAATGGCCCATTTCTCTTTTCAGGAGCTCAGAATAATTACTTTTATTAAATGCAATCTTCCATAACCATCCTGTTCCTTTCAGGCTGCTGAAAAAGAAAAAAAAAGTGAGACTGCTTGTTGTTCTAAGTGTCCCTGTCACCAAAGAAAAAATTAAATTAAGAATTATACCCATTAAATGAAATAAATGCTTTGCTCATACTTGATTCCGAGTTTATTCTTCACAACGAAACGCGACGTTCACTAGTAGGCCTGGATATCTCTTTGGACCTTTTTTTCGTGTCTTAACTTTCCACCAGCAAGGGAGTATTTTTAATTTTTGGTCAAGATATGGGAGTTGTGCACAGTTCCAGATGTTGATTAGGTGCATTTAATTGATGAATTTGGAAAATTAGCGACCGAGAAGATTTAGTTCTACGGGAAGAACATTTCACGCCGTGATTATGCCTGTGATATTAGCGTGATCACAAAGGAATAACATGTGTGACTTACTCACAGAGATTGTGATTAGAAATCAGGACTGGAAAGCGTGATCACAGACTGGTAATTAGATGTGATCACGGCCTGGGAAGCCTCTGATGATAATCTGGTCACAAAGAAAAATAACATGTGTGGCCTTGCCTCCTATAGGAGGCAGTAGCCACAAAAATTGTGGTTAGACATCAAGAGTGGAAAGCGTGATCGCAGACTGATAATTAGATGTGGACGCGGCCTAGGAAACCGCAAGATACCAAGATGTTTATATGTGACGAGCACGCCCCTTGTGTACTAGAGACTGCTCCTTAAAAAAAAAAATTAATTTTAAAGTTCTCTTATTGATGTATAAGTAAATCAATTTTCAGATATACTGTAAACTGTGAAAAATCCACTTACCGGATCATTCGTAAACTTCCTGTTTCCAGAACTGAGCGACGCACTACTTATTGTTAACAAAACCTTCGCCTCAATTTTATAGCACCCTACATTTCCATCCATCTTTCCAGAACGACGAAATGTAAAAACAGCTTTATGCGCTAAAAACAATTGGTCTCAAAGCTAACCGAAGAAAACGCATAGAAAAAACACTTCAATTATGTTTGTTGAGTTTCCTTCGCATTTAACTCACCCAGAGATGTTTTTACTATGAGACAGATTTTTTGCTCCATTGAAACAAAAATATTTGGGGTCTTCCATGAAAAATCTTGAAAACAGTAGAACCATTCTTAAGAAATGGAGAACAAGATACTAACCACTGGATTGTTTTTAACCCATTGCGTACAACAACTGTTACAAAGCCGCCTGACTTTCATGTCGCAAACAATGATCTCAGCTTGTCGTCGCAGCACAGCATAGAAATACACAGTCATAATATTGTCATTTGCAGACTTGAAATGGATAATTGTCTACCTTTCCCGCTGGGGCGTAAGTTAATTTTATTGTGCTGACCCGTGAGGGCCGTAAAAAGAAATTTATTTTTGGATAAACTTGCAAGTTCGAGAACCCAAACCGTATCACTGACCACAACAACAACTTGGTGCGGTATCTTAAACGAATGGAAGAGTGCTGGATCCTTCTGGTACGACACGCTGCATGTGTGTTCGTGCCAAAATGGACAGAGTATTAAAGTTAAAAAACTCTCGGGGATAACTAAAAAAATTGGATAACTTCTTGGTTTATGAAATATCATAACAGTAAAATCAGTTTTGGAAGGATGATTTCATTTCTTCGCATTAATTTTATATTTTTAAAACTGAAATACTCTTGGGGGATAATAAAACATATGGATACCTTCTTCGTTTTTGAAAAATCATAACAACAAAATACATCTTTGCAGGATAATTTGATTTCTTCGCATTAATTCTTGTTCGAATTATAGGAGTTACCTAAATTTTTCAACCAGGTAAGTCGTATCATTTTTCTTCTTGTAGCAAAAACGCATACTTTGAAAAAATTCCGGAAAGCTGTCATACCAATATGTATTTGTCAACGTTTGATCTACTTTACGGAATTGTGAGGTAAACTAATTATGAAACGAAAATTGTTTCCTGCACTTAGCTGTTTGTATAAGCAGCAGACCACACTTTCTATCACTTTATCAGCGTAAAAACCCAAGCATAATATTGGGAGAACACGTGTAAATCACGAGTGATTTAAAGACTTTTCGGTTAGAACGTAGGTTATCCCTAAGAGAGTACCGTCTATTGCTTCTATAAAGTAAACGTAACATAAAACCCAGTATGTTCAAATTTTCTATGGGTTTACTGGTGCATAAAACGATAGGAACTGATTTATTGGGATGCTTGTAGGATCTCAGTTATTCTGTTAAGATATCATGATTTTATTACACCCATTTTGAAATCACTGGTGGTCTTTGTAATCTGATTTGCTCTAATTGATGCGATTTATTTATGAATCGCACCATTTTTTTTCTTTAAATCGCATCTTATTCCCAGAACAAAGTTCAGCCAATCACACCTGAAGAAGATTCAGTCCTGTTGGAAAAAGGTCACTTGGGTGATTTTAATGGAAAGGTCTTGACCAATGACAACTGCAAAAATTTGACGGAACAACTGGGATTTCGTGGTCGCCAAGAACACCACGAGGGCGCTTTCCTAGATGTTCTGCATCACAATTTCTACTACAACAACAAAAACTGGAGACCCCATAGCTGTGCCGTGTAGCTGTTTGTAGTGTTTACCGTTGTACCGAAAGTAACTTGACTACACTATTAAAAACCGTGAAGTTACGAATAAATGACAGTGGATATATGAAAATCATATAAGCTCGGTATTGCACAGCTCATAGGTTCAAACCCCGCAAGGCCTGAAATTTTTCCGACCTTATTTTCGCTACTACTTAAGAAGTGTTCAATGCTTCGAAGATTGCTTTCATATTTATTTCTTAATCCGCAGTTCACATATAAGATTTTTATATATCCACAGTCATTTTTTTTTGTAGTCAAGAATCTCGGCTGCGAAGACTTGAGAGAAATTTCTAAGCTTTTATGGCCTAAAACGAAATCAAAAGTAACAATTCCTTTTACTAAATACTCCGAAACGAGCCCACGCTCGCTGTTGCGTCATGGTAAATGTGTTAATTTGGGTACTCTCTCTCGCACTCGGAGAATGCTATGGTTCACAGCGGTACGGTTTATGTGGTCAGTTTGGCCCCCGCCCTAAGATCTGTATTGCCACGTTTTTCACAGAATTTAAAGTTGAGACAAATGTCTGTTCCCTCATAGATAAAGGGAAAATAAAGCCTGAAATAAATAAAGCCTGGAAAATTGCAATTTGCTAGAGCTGAACATGATAGTAAAAAAAAAATCAAAACTAAGTAAAAAGATACGAGACAGAGTTGACTCAAGGGTAAAAATGTTATTGAGGCTCCGGGTAATTGGCTTCTGTACGGTGTATTGTTTGCCACAGCGAAAACAACGCATACTAAAATTTTGCAGAAAAGAAGAAAGGTGCTTTGAATGGAGCAATTTTATAAAATGAAAAATAAACATACTAACATACTCTGTTATTATTGCATAACATGCTCATGGTAAAGGTTTAAATTTTTTTTGTAATTTTTTACAAGAGAGAAATTCATCAATATTTTGTAAACTACTCTAAAGTTTCCGGTCGGTCAATCTAGGAAATTTTGAGCAGATGATCATATCGCAGTGCGCAGCCTCGGTTTCAAGTGGGCTGGTTT